AACTGGCCATAACAATTGGTTCTGGATGAGCCAAGAACCCTACTTGGCTCTGAGTGGAGTAATCAGGAAGGAGGTGCCCAATTTTCCCAGCAGTTTAGTTGAGAGAAAGAGGCCATGAGGTGCTTCATGGCAATACTGCTACTTGTGAAGACAGAAGCTGGTGAGAACAATGCTGCCAAGGACAGAGCCATGAGATGGCGAGAGTCTTGCTTGCTCAAATAATACTTGTATGGCACCAACTCTGATGACTCAGACACTGAAGACAGAGCTCTGGAGATAGAGTAATGATCAGAAGAGGCAACATCTCTGCCCTAAAGGAGTCTGTCCTCCAGTCAAAGCAGGCTGGTGAGACAACAATAAAATAAATAAGAACATGTTATATAAAGCATATGTGGTGGCTCCAAGTGCAAGGCACCAGAATAAAGCAGGGAAGGAGACGGAGTGTCGGGAGATGAGGTGTTGTACTTTTAAATATGGCGGTCAGGTGGTGTTGAGGTCATATCTGAGCATGGGGGAGTGTGCCACATGGATGTCTGGAGGAAGACCCTTCTGTGTAGAAGGAACAGCCCAGGTACACACCCTAAAAGGAAAGTGGAATGAAAATAGTAGGAAAGTAGTCTAAGTGGGATTTGGAGGATGGATTGTATAGGCTTTGCTAGGCATTTTAAGGACTTAGCATTTATCTGGAGTGAAATGAGAAGTGACTGGAAGGTTCTGAGCAGAGAAGTGACATCATCAGAACCACTCTGGCCTAAGGGAGGCAAAGGCTGATGGGCTGAAGGATAAAAGGCCACTGACCTGACCCATGTGAGGGTTGTACCAGCTTGTACCAGGGCGACTGCAGTGAATGCTGCAAGAAGAGGGAGATTCTTGGAGAAGTCAGATTATGGATCAGGTGGAGGGTATAAGAGAGAGGAGTTGAGGGTGACCCCAAGATTTTGGGGCCTAAGCAAGTGAAATAATGGGATTAAATTTACTGAGATGGGTTTTAAATGGGGTAGATAAGGCAATCAAGAACTTTAGTCTTAGAAATATTCAATTCAAGATGTTAGATGATTCTTGAGGATGTTGAGTGCTAAATCTATCTATACTGAAAGCCAGAATTATCACTTGACTTTTCAGTTATACAAAGCAGAATATTTGCCTTCTACATTCTTTCTTGCAGTCTCCGAACATAAACGTCTCAACATATTTCCTTTTAGAAGCCATCACATTTCGTCATTAAATGCCATCTGCAATTTTTCCTCATCAGTGCCTTTAGATAAAAGATGTTCTTAAGAATTAGCTCTCTTTGGGTTGAAAGTAACAAAAATCCATCTTAGATTATTTCAAGATTATTTCAAGAGGCTAATTAGTGTTTAACTTCGAAATGCTTTAAAAAAAACACAAGTATTTAGATATCAAAAATTAAGTGTTTAATGGAAGCTACAGTACTTAACTTGAGAATCCTTGTATTATTTACATTAATCAAAAATATCACCCAAGATCTGTATGGATGCAAAGACTTGCATACAGAATTTCATGATTATAAGTACATGAAACTGGCGCATTTTAAGCAAGATGGTGAAGGACTACAGTAAGTGTTCTGAATTCACCATGTTCAGTCAAGAGGCAGTACACCTGATTAATACAGTTCTTCAGGCTGGCCTGCTCCTTTAGCTTTCATTCATCCATCTAGCTACCCTCTCAATATTTAATGAGTGGCTCCCAGTGCCATGCTGGGCACAGGGGCTGGGTGAACAAGACACAGAAGAACTTCTTCCCCATAAAGATTATAATCTAGAGGGGAAGAAAGATAGCAAGGAAGAATTCAGAGATGTTATTTTAGGTCTTTATGTCTGAGGCATGACAATAATTCTCTTTGAAGCGATAATCACAAAAGCCTTATCAAAATTCCTAAGTAGGATTTGAAGCTAACACCATGTCAAAAGTTAGGATGACTATTAAGAGCAGCCAGGAAAAATATTAGAAATAACCTTAAAAGACTATCTTACTTGTATTTTGGTATGTTTAAAAAATTATTAAAAATTTAAAAATTAACAATGATCTTTATATACAATGTTTGAATAATTAGGGGTTTTAATTTTTTTTGTGAATTTTCCAATTAATGTAGGAAACCTTTCTTCAGTAACACGTACAGCCCCACATACAGACTCCAGTTAAATCATGGCAAAAGAAATGCATCATTTTCAGGGGGATTTTATTCAATTTTGGGGATTCCCTTCACTCTGGCTCCCTGAGCACAGAGATCCTTTCCGTCTTGAACAACCTTACTAGGTTCCTAAACACAGAGTAAAACCCAGTAAATACTGGTGTTAAATAAAACATGAATATTCTAATTATATGGGTGAAAGTGAGGCTAGTACAGTGGTTCAGACAATGTCTGGGTTTGTACAGCTCTCTTGCTACTTACTCTGTAATCTCAGGGAACTTCCATGTGCCTCAGCATTCTTATCTCTAAAGTGAGACTACTAATAGCTTCCAAGTCATGGTGTTGCTGTGAGAATTAAGAATCAACCTAAATGTCCGTGGACAGATGACTGGATAAAGAAGCTGTGGTATATTTATAAAATGGAATACTATTCAGCCATAAAAAGAAGAAACTAATGCCATTTGCAGCAACATGGATGGCCCTGGAGATGGTCATACTAAGTGAAGTAAGCCAGAAAGAAAAAGAAAAACTCAATGTGGTATCACTTATATGTGGAATCCAAAAACAGAGGACAGAAATGAACTTATTTACAAAACAGAGACAAACTCAGACACAGAAAACAAACTTATGGTTACAGGGGGAAATAGGGTGTGAAGGGATAAATTGGAACTTTGGGATTTGTAAAGACTAACTACTATATGTAAAACAGATAAACAACAAGGTCCTACTGTACAGCACAGGGAACTATATTCAATATCTTGTAGTAACCTATAATGAAAAAGAATACAAAAAAGCTTATATATAAATGAATCACTATGCTATGCACCAGAAATTAACACACTGTATATCAACTATGCCTCAATAAAATTTTTTTAAAAAAGAATCAATACATGAAACATACTTAGAACAGTGACTGGAAATTGCTCCATAAGTATGTTAACCATTAAAATCATCATCATCATCATAACCTCAAATTTCTACTTTAGATTGGGCATTGATATACTATCTCTGAATTATAAAGGGGTTTTGCTACTTTTTAAAATTTTATTTTACTTGACATTACCACGATATTCTCTCCCTTCCACTTAACCAATTCACTGAGTCCTTGACTGATTCCATGATGATGTCACAGGGGCTTCTACAATCATAATTTCCTAGCAAGTAATCACATCAATTATTAAGTCAGAGGAAAAAGCCAGATACACATGTTTGCATATATTTCTGCAATCAGAAATTTTGATTGATGCTGTGCTTTGAATATATAAATAACGATGCATAATTAAATCTTATTAATTCAGAATTGTTACTGGGAATACCAAAGACATTTAGTCAGAAGTTCTAAATACAGAATATTTTCAGTTTATTGCCAAACCTACATGCTCCTTGGTCTAACCCCAACCATGTGTTACAAAAAAGAGACTGGGTCAAGCTTCCTCTACTAATTAGTGAAGGATAGTATCTAATTACCACATTAGTTGGTTGCTTGTAAATGTGTACTACTAAAGGGATTAAAATAGTTTGTTATTAAACGTTTGCTCTGCCAACTTACTACACTAGTAAGTTGGTAACCAAACTCTCTTTTCTATAGATAATGAAAAGGTAAACATGGGAATTTCCCTGATCAAAGTAACACTGGTTAATTAAAATCCAAAATGGTAGAATTATGTTTTATAGAGATTTTAACTTACCCACAACACTAGCCAACAATATTCAATTTCATACTGTTGTTGTTCTTAGGAATTTTACACAGCCAATGTATGTTTTCATAAAAATTCGGGGATTATACACAGAAATAGAAATGCATTAATGAAACTGGAAATCAAGCAAAATTACTGTCTCATTCCCATATAAAGCCGGTTAAGAAAACATTATTATTAAATTAATTTTGAAAATGAGAAGAAAAATTTTCTGCAAGTCAAAGTAATGCATCATTATATTAAAATTAAAGCTAATCCCTTCATGCTCCCACATTCTTCACTTTCAGAAAAGAAGTAAGAATGGTACCTACGTCATGCAGTAGTTATCAAATCTGAATGTAGGAAAACACGTACAGCATATGAGACAGGTATGCTACTAGCTATGATAATGACCATGACAATGCCAGTTCAAATGGCTGCACTGTAAGAAGGCAGCAACACAACACAATGAGTAAATATATACTGGTCCTATCAGTTTCATGGAAATATACAGACAACAAAATGGCAAATCACTGATTTTTCTTGTAGGCAAATTTAAAAGCCAAGTGAATGTATAGGAGTGCTTAGCTCATAACTGGTGCTTGTGAATTTATCTGTGAATATACAGCGAGCAAAGACTCTGCTTTGAAGGCAACACTGACTGACATCTCTGGTCAGATTTTTTAAAGTATCAATATATTCCTGTGGACAAACATCTTTGGATGGTAATGTTTTATTGTACATGGCCCTCTTTTGAATAACGTAGGAAATAAAAGAAGAAGAAAAAAAAAAACCTCTTGATTCATTGGCCTGAACTTTAACTTTCTCATGCTTATCAAAAACTGTCAAAGTTTGGAGAACTAAAAATACACAAAAGAAACCAATTAAGTTGATCACATTTAAAAGCCAAGTGGATAGAATTGACTTAAACACCCCACACTAAGATTTTTCAAATGGTGCCCATTTTCACGTGGGGTTTCTACCTAAAAATTCAGAGATGTCGGGAAGATATGCATGTTTGCCTCTGAGATTATGAGGGTTTGGAGTTGGATTTACATCATTCGTGGGCTTAATGACTGGGTTGCCCACTTAAAATGATAAAAAAGGCCATTATTTTCAATGCAAAGCTTTTTTTTTTCTTTTTGCCATTTAAAATATCAGAATATACATACGAGTTTTCTTGGTGGTTGCGTTAACCGTGGCGCTAAAGGGACCAGCACCAGCGCTGTTGTAAGCCCGGACAGCAGTGAAATAGGCCAAGTTGCTCTTCAAGCTGCGGAGTCTGGCCGACGTCACATTTCCTGCCACTTTCACTTTGCTGGATGATTCCTCTTCTCCTCCATTAGTCCAGTACCGCACCTGGTGGACAGAAAACATAAAAGATGCAAAGGGCTGACAAAATAGCATCCTCTACATTAAGTGATTTTCTTTAAGATGGGCACTGTAATTTTTATTTATCTGATTTCCTCAACAAGTAATTCTTAAGGACCCACTGTGTGCTGGGTGCTACATTAGGCTCTGTGCCACAGAGGTGAAAGAAAATGGACTCCAGGAAAAAAAGAGATAATAAACAAGTATATAAATAAATCAGATGAACTCAAAGAGACTAAGTGCTAAATGCTACTAGACCACGGTCTTCTAAATGGGAAAATGAAGGAGAAATCTGCATATCTAATGAAGTGATCTGCTCCCTCCTTCTCAGATTCTAATCCCGCAGCCCAAGCTCAACTCCAGGAGGCTGGCGGCAATGCTCAAACACCGATGGATCGTGAAGATTCCTCCTGTGAAGAAAGTGAGCTGTCAGAGCAAGGACCATCAAAAAGCCAGCTGGCCACTGGGCTGTCCTACAGCAATGGCCAAGTGTCACCAAGCCCACCTGTGCACGCACAGCTGCTGCAGAGAACAGGAAAGCAGGTAACATGGGTAAATATACCTATATATTGAAATGTTTTATTTGTATTTCATACAAATTGTGCACAATGATCTGAGACTTCTTATAAAGATATATACATACACAGTTTAAAATACAAAAATAAGATAGTATTTGATAATGAAAAGAAATAAGGGTAGAAAAAATGCAATAATAAGACATGTTCACCAATGAACTCCAATTTACGGTATAAAGTTCTGCTACACTTCACTAGAAAGTTTGGATTGTTCATAAAGTAAAAACAGAAACAAAACCAACATGAGCAACAAAACAACCAAACAAAAATGGCTCATGAGAAGTCCAACTGTTCCTTCTGTTGAGACCAGATATCACCATCTGACCATCCAAAACAGGAGTTAGACACTTAACATATATTTTTTACTTTAATAAATAAATAGACATTTTCCTGTTTTCCTGGTAATATGTGCCCTTTTAGTTTGACTTTCTATTTTTTTTTTTTTTTTTACTTTTAGCTTTTGGGGGGGCGGTATTTGGTTTATTTATTTTCAGAGGAAGTACTGGGGATTGAACTCCAGACCTTGTGCATGCTAAGCATATGCTCTACCACTTGAGCTATGCCCTCCCTCTCCACCCTGATTTGACTTTCATTTTTGTATTTTGATAGCAAAATACAAATCAGGAAACCATTTCTATAATTTGTGTTAAGTAAATAGCTGCCTGAGCACAATGAAAATGGCAACCAATCCTTAGCCTTCAGAGTCAGGAAGACCACAGAGACTTGTGGAGACTGTGGCAAAGTAGATGGCCAACTTTCATCTTAGTAATGGCACCTCTATTCAGCTCTTGTTGATGGCAGGACAGGTGGACCCAGCATTTACAGGTCTTTTTTAAGAAGAAAGAAGAAACCCTGATTTTAATGTGAAATGCCCCAAATTTAGAATTGGTTTCATTTTTTAAAGACAATGTGTGGGCCAAACAAAATGTGTTCATGGGATGCACAAGGTCAACCTGCTTCAGTCATCTGAGAAAAATACACTAGAAATTACTGTTTTCTGGGGAAAATGAGCAACTATAAAATTATTTCTTTAAAAAAATAAGTAGCAAAATGTAAAATCTCAGATTTTTGCATAATGATCTGAAATTAGTGCACTAATATTACACCAGATCAATATTTTCCCTCTATATGTACATATATATGTGTATGCATGTACATTTACATATAGTTATACTTATATATAGGCCCCTTTAAATTCATGCAAAATGCTGGATTCATATATGTGTGGATGTGCATTTTTCCTGGAGGAGAGTTATTAATTTTTTATAAAAACGGATTGGTTTTTATAGAACCTCAAAAGGAGGATGTGAACTCAAATTATTAGGACAAATTAAATATGCAAGCCCTACAGCTTTAAAGCATCAAATTAACACTAAAACTTGATAACATTTTAGCAAAAAAAAAAATCCATATAACTGACAGACTCCATTTACTATTATCAAAAAAACCACATAGATTTTATTCATTAACTAAAGATTAAAATGCCAAATTGTCTTTTATAAAGCCACAGCTGAGCAAATTGTTATTGGATACTGAAAAACTCACATATATATTTTAAATTCACCAGTTGTAAACATGGAATGGGGGTTGTTGCTAGGTTTAGATGACTCAAAAATGATGACACTCTCCCTGCCCTTGAAAGCACTGTCTAGGTATTAACAAAGAATGACACATAATCAATAATTACAATAAAATGTTATAGACAACCTGAAAACTTGTGGCCTGGGATATAGCAGAGATTGGGGAAAAGATCACATCATTACAAGTTATAATAACTGTCACTTAGCAGAGGGAGTGACAGAGGCAGGGGGTACTTAAGTAACTCAGGATCATCTGTGATACACACTGGCCTCTTGCTAGGTTCCAATCCAGGTGTCATTCCTTTTGTATCCAAATCACCTCAATATAAGTTGCCTAAGAAATCATTCCTTAGGAGACTGATTTAAAGAAGAAATAAAAATAACTTTTGATTGGCGTACGGATTATCTTGTATAAATCATTTCACAGAAGGTGCTTGAAGGTTCTTGCTAGCAGTTTGTTTCTGAAGTACTCTAATCAATCTCCATGTATCAGAATGAGAGATTTATTTTTAGCTATCCATTGCTCACAGATATTAAAAGTATGTAAACATAGAGAAAATTTGTGCCAAAATTGAGCATGATGTTACTTAGAATGGATTGTGTAATCTTTTAAAATTACTTTCTTTAAAAAAATTGAATAAATATGCATAAACCTAAAACATAAGGTAACAAAGCAGTGACATGAATAGTTCCAATTTTCTACAAGTAATGAATCAGTTATTTTCTATATGTAATATCAGTTAGGTTCTATAAAATTTTGCTCAAAAATATTTACATAAGGATATTAAAAAAAGATGGAAAAGTTAAGAATAAAAAGACATCATTTTTTCTCTCAGCTGTGCTCTGGGTTTAAATGGTAAAAGTTCCCCACCTGAGAGAACAGAATATAACTCCACACTAATTTGGATTTTATAGGCACAACCACAAAACAAGGATGAAGAAAGGAAATGTGTCTAGACAGAAGGAACAAACTCTGCAAGTATAATTGTGCAGAGAAGAGTTCATTTCACATTGACAGAACATGAAGGCAGCATCTACAAAAGATGAGCAGAGAGAGAAATATTACAAAGCACAAGAAGAACCCCGCTAACAGGAAAGAGTCAGCCGACTGGACCACAGGAGACTAGGTAAAATACACTTATCTGCAACGGATCTTAAAATAAGTCTATTTAAAATGTCCACCTTTACTAAAGGGACTGAATTTATAATGCGAGAATAGGAGATAAAGAAAAAAGATGGGGCGATCCTGAAAAATATCAAGCAGAATTCCGACATGTGAAAAATACAATATTAAAAAATAAGAAACCCGAGATAGAATTAAGGTGAAGGCTGGAAGGGAGAAGAGAGAATTAATAAATCCAGAACATGGAGGAAGACATAAAAATTATGGAAGCCAAGTTAAGAAACACTGAGGATGAAATGAAATTTTCCAACCAGTTCCAGAAGAAGAGGTAACAACAGGATAATAAGAAAAAGGCAACAGTAAAAGTGAAAACGCCTGAGAATTTTCAGAATGGAAGAAACACAGAAATGTTCACGTTGTAGATTCACTCTGAGGTTGGGGTGGGGGGGATAAAATGCAAATCCAAAGGAGAGGGTGATTAAGACTAATTTGTGGCTCTCAACATTTTTCATCTCCTGAAAGGTACAGGCCACTCCCTCCATCAGCAGTGGGTCACTAGGCTTGGTTTGCTAGAGTGGCGGCGGGTGCACCTGTGAAATCAGCTGCATTCCTTGGCCCAGCAGAGAGCAGGAGGGGCAGATGCTAAGGTGGAATCACACCCCTGACGCGGGTCTGTCTTGGTCACCATCAGGGCTCTGCCACTCAGGACAAAGCCTGTACACACTAAGCACCCAGTGTTGCTGAATTCTTGAAGGACTCAAACACACAGTTTAAAAATGCCTCCCTCCTTCCCACCACAGAGGTTCCCTGTGACATAATAAGACACAAATGTTTGGTCTCTGCCAGGGTTTCCTAACATACAGCCCCCACCAAGACCCTGGAATCTTTTGCACGCTAATGAGACATCTGGTGGCTCGGGTTTCTGCGTAGCTTCCGGATGGGGGCTGGTTGCCAGGGTAACCAACCAGGTGATTAGAGGGTTGGAATCTTCAGCTCCACCTTTTGACAAAAGGCTGGAGGTGGATTTAATCAATCCTGCCTATGCAATGAAACCTCCATAGAAAACTCCACCCGGAGAGGTCTGAAGGGCTTCCAAGTAGGTGATTAGGAGAGTGGGGGCGCTGGAGAGGGCATCGAAGCTCTGTGCCCCTTCTCATGTACTTCGCTCTATGCATCTCTTTTGCTTAGCTGCTCTTTAGTTGTATCCTTTATAACAAATGGATAATAGTAAGTAAAGTGCTTGCCTGAGTTTTGTGAGCCATTCTAGTAAGTAATCAAAACCAAGAAGGGGGTTGTGGGAACCTCTGATGTACAGCCAATTGATCGGAGTACGGGAGGCCTGGACTTGTGACTGACATCTGAATTGTGTGTGAGTGTGTGTGTGTGTGCGTGTGCGTGTGCGTGTGCGTGTGGTAGGGAGGCAGTCTTGTGGGACTGAACTCTTAATTTGTAGGATCTGAACTGAACTCCAGGTATAGAGTGTCAGAATTGAACTGAACTTTAGGACACCCACCTGGTGTCCGAGAACTGGTCCGTGTAGAGAAAAAACCCCACAAGTTTGATGTCAAAAGTGTTTTACGGATAGCGTAGAGAGGAAGAAAAATTTTTTTCCTTTTATTCACCAAGCTGGTTAATCAGGTCATAATATTCTATGTGTCTCTAAAACACTGGAACTCCAATTTCTTGATGAGGTAATATAATTTTCTTTTC